TTGTTAAAATTTTATTTTTATTATATTATGTGTATATAATTTTTTTTGATTTTAAAAATGTCCGCATAATTTTGGTCATTGACTGTATATTGAATAATTCATTATAACATTAATTGAATTTTTTTATAACAAAGATCAATCAGCATGGATGCTTACTTTGTTTTATTAAAGTATAACTTTATTTGGAATCTAAAAAAGGAATTAAAAAATATTAAGTTCTAAAAAAAATAATAAAATTATAAAAAAATTAATAAGCTTCTTTTAATAAAATTCAATTTAAATTTTTAATAAATCTTTTTATTATGCATATTTTTTTTAAAAAAAATTTTATTAATAGCAAATGACTAAATAACAAATGATTCAAATAACTATTAAATAACATTAGTATATTATCATTTGTTATTTAAGTCATTTGCAAAATGACAAATGCTAAATGATTTAAGATAATAATAAAGGATTAGATAAATCCTTTAGAATATTAAAAGATCAGGTCATATCAAATACTGATTTTCTCTGTTAATCAAGCAAATATTGTATATTGCTTCATTACATCCTTCTGTTTATATTACAAATGAGTCAATACTTAAACAATATGACTGGTTAGAACAAAATTTAAATATTCCTTTATCATTATAAATACATTTTTATAAACCCTCTAATTTGCAAAAAATTTGTTAAATGTTTTTATTTTTGCATACATAAATAAATTTTAAGTATAATTAAAACTGATTATATAATTAATCACTTAATGCTAAACGGGAAACAAAGTTTTCTGCAAATTACAAACTCTAGTTATCATATAAATGATCGATAAAATATAATGACATTTTATTTTCCTGTTAGTGGACAACAAATACTATTTTTTAATGTTATGAATAAATCAAATATTAAGGGTAAAATATATTGTGAAGATGTAGGTGTATAGCTTTATAAACATGAAGATGATCAAGTACATTCTTTGAACTAATTTTCTTATCGAACCGTTTAAAAATTTATTTTCAGCTTCTGAATTCAACATATTAAGTTTCCTAAGCATATTTTCAAACTAATACAAATCAGATTGTGCTGTTTATTTATTATTCTTCGTGAGTGTTGCATTGTCCCAATCCTTCAAACGTTCAGATGCTTCTAATCCACCTGCTCAAAATCGATAAGAACATATCTATAATCGCTGATATCAGGAACAAAGACAATGTTTGGAAGCTGAATGTCAATCAAGTTAATCTAGTAAGCACATTATTTGCCATTATACGAACTTTGTGTTCGCTCAAAGCTTGGCATCGCATTTCAAACACAACTCTGTATGTTTTTAGTTCCTAATAGTTGGGCCTCCGCCTTCCTTTATTTGGATAAGTCCTGGATGACCTTTTGCACAATTGTACATTCTCTTCTTCACATGAAAGTAGAGGTTGGAACTGGTTAATTTTTAACCGGTTAATTAACCGGCTAACAAATATTTACCGGTTATTAACCGGCTAAAGAATTTTTGTCTGGTTCCAACCTCTACATAGAAGATATTCCAGTGGGATCATTTTCTCTACCGTGTAATCATCAATTTGTCAAATTTCAGCCATTTCCCAATAGAAACGATTGTTTCGGGAATTGTATTATTCAGAGTCCTCATTATGCGTGAAATATTGATAACTGTACAGAAGGTGGAAACACCGATCTCGGATGTTGATGTCAAATCGATTTGAAAGAGGAATTTAGCGGATTTGCGTTTGGCGATCCATTGATTGAATAAAAACGCAAATACAATCCTGTTGCGGCGTAACATATCATAAATTTTATGTTTCCAAATTCAAAGGATCAAACATATTGAATTTTTCTTCAAGATCACGCATAGAAACTGGAAATTCTTTGACTTCGGTCTTCTCTTCGCCTTTAAATAGAAGCATACCGTTGTTCAGGTTTTTTGATATCTATCGCTGTAGGTTCCTGGTCGTTGCTGCCCTGATCCATTTCAATTGGAAGCACTCCTCTATTATGCTTCGATCAGTCCAGTCCAAAAAGACCGGCTTTTCATCTACCGGACCGGTCCATAAGTCAGTCAAGGATAAGACCGGTCTTGTACCATTCGGTCCTACCAGTTCGGTCCGGTCCAAGATTTTTTTTCTTCTCGAACCAGACCGATTTATAAGACTGGTCCAGAACATATTATATTCACCTGATATATACATACAAAATGATCATTTTAATAAAATAATTGTATAAATTTAATAAATAAAAAAATATAAAATTACATACGAAACGATTACTACGCCTTCTTAATATCCATTTCCGATATTTTACATTTCGTTATTATAGTAAAATATTAGGAAAGGTCCAAGGAATGGACCGGTCCTCAGAATATGGACTGAGGAACGCAAGGACCGGTCCAATTAACCGGTCTAACCAGTCTTACCAGGACCGATCCATCCCTATCCTCTGACAAGACTCTTGTAAAAATTCTGGAGCGGGATTCTGATCAAACTATCTAGTGTATCATATTACTGATCTGTGATCTAAGTTCTGCTTTTCAAATTGTTGTTTGCTAGAATACTTCCACATTCATCATCACTTGTTTTGATAAATTCTGCAACCTGAGGAAATTTTTTTTCTTCGTAAAAAGATACGGGCAATTTTCGAATAAGTGGCGCATCATAAAGAGGTTTAAGATCATCCACTTGACTTGGAACGGTATCGAATGATTGAATGAGAGCATCACAGATCAAGGCAGTCATGTCGACTTGCATCTTATAGTAACTCCGTGCTGATGCTACTTAGAAAAGAAGTACAATAAATTTAATTTATTAATACGCGTCAAAATAAATTTTAATAGGTGAGAAGCAGGAAAGAAAATAGAAGCCAAGTTGCGTTGACTACCGACTCACTTACTGGCAACGGATTGATCTACGATAACATGAATGTGATTTTCGGGCGAGCTTGACAAGAATAAGTAAGTATTCGATATGAATGACAAATATGACAGAGAAAGACGAAAAAAAAATTACGCTATATCACATTGACTAAATTTATGACTCACCAGGAGTTCCGAATACAACTTGAATATTTTTTTCTCTGAGGTCGTGAAAAGTTTCTTCAACCGTATTTCCTGATATTAACAATTTGTTATCATCGCGTTAATTGTACTCTGTTCGACGTTAAAACGCCATAAAATGAGTTCGTCAGAAGCAAAATCGTCAAAACATGGACTCCTTTTCTCCTTGAGGATTTCCTTGAGAACGGAAAGAATATTATTCATTTTAACTGAGATTTTGAAAGCAGACTTATTTCCTTTAGCAAGACACCAAAGAATGATGGTCGACAATTTTTAGAAAAAAGAAGAAGAATTTTTGAAAATTGGGGTGTTGTGCAAATCGTCATCTGAGGCACAATATATATATAAGAAATCGATTGTCGCACAGATTGATATCAATATGACTTTTTAATTATACTTACTACTTTTAAACGTTAATAAATTTAATGCAATTCATAAATCATATTTTCTACTTTTATTCTTGCTGTACGTACTGTATATATTTCAATAAATAAATCAGGCAAATAAGCTTTGCCGCCTTTGATAAAGATTTTCATTGTTCGAAGTACGTTAGTATCCTTTTAACATAATTTTTTTTAACATTATAAAATTTATTGATTTCGAAAGGAAGTTAATTCAACTCGAAAAAAATTATCTCGCAACCCTTTTTCATATTTACCAAATATAATAAAATATTAAAAAAAAAAATATCAGATATTTGGAATTCATTTCTCTTTCTCTTCCAGCGCCACGCCAAGGCTTCTTCTTTCCTATAAATTATCGATCGGGTAGCTATTTTAATGACCTGGACTCACGACCATACAGGTCATACCTTTACTTTAAACCCAGTTCGGGAATTATCCGGTGGTGTAAATATATCTTTAAGTTTTTATTTCACTTTCTTCGTTGTCTTTGGACATTTTTATAAATCTAAAAATAAAAAAAAGTTATAAATCATCAGGATGCTCCACTTAAAATATATATATGAGAATCTCATGTAGTCTGTTTTCGTATTTCTTTACGCTGTAGGGGTAATATACCATATTTTGAATGATTTAGAGAAATTCTAGACAATCCTGATGCACCAGGAGTGGTCATGTCATACCTTCTTAGCCGTAATGTCTTTTTCAATTAAAAGTTTATTAAGGTCATTTTATAAGCGTGAGGCACAACATATACATTTCCTCTTGCATATTTTAATTTGTGGATACATCAAAAGCCAATAAAGTAATCAATACAAACTATCACTTTTTTTTAAATGTTAGTTAGAAATTCATTATCGAACTAAACATATTTCAATAATTTATCTTTGATTGTTCAAAAAATATAAGTCATTTTAGGAAAAAATACAGAACTTTACTTTAGTTAATGTGAAATTTGCTGCGCAAAGTAAAGATCGAAGTTATAAACTTGATAATTCTTGATACATAATTATATTGTGTATTTGTATCTCAAAAAATTAGAAGAATTATTTTTGGACCTTAGAGAAAAATCAATTGTTTAGAAATACTTGTATAAATCCATCCATCATTATAAAGTTTATATATTAAGGTTACGGGGGGCAAAACCCAAATTTATTTTTGCAAAAGTCAAAACCTTTCGATTTCGACGGTTTCGACGATTCGTCCTCGTTTCTGAACAACATATCTTAACGTTAAAGCATTGTTGGCCTTTGGCCTTTGGCCAATTTTGCCGGCCAAAATGGCTAAAAAAAAAATCTCTGGCCAAATTCCTATCAAATTCTAACAAGTATTAATTACATTTATTAATACCTAGTTATTTGGCCAAAATTTGGCCGTTTGGCATTGGCCGTTGGCCAAATGCTAACACTGCGTTAAAAGAAGCAACGACTACACGTATATCCATATCTGTTGAAATATCTATTATCTGATTATAATAAGTATTTCCAGTATTTTCTACACTTGGAACTCTTAGCGGATGCAACTCATTCCCGACAACCGTTTCTCCGAGATAAATTCACCCAATAGCATAAGGTACCGAATGAAGTTGAATGAACATCTTTCTATTTAGATTATTTATAAAGTTAAAAAATCATCAAACCGAGATGGAGTTCAAAATTATTAAAAGGTTAAAACAAATGAAAACACCAAAGCTCGAATGTTAAATATTGGATCAATCCAAGAATAAAGCAGCTTTTATTCTTAGACATATATTTCACAATTTGCTTTTCGACTTACTTCTGACACGCTTTTCATTAATTTTTTTGAGGTTTTTCAAAATTTCTGTCCTATAATCAAATTCTCTTAGTGCTAATCGATGTCTGCTTATGTCGTTAATACAAATATTTTATTATTTCATTAATCAAGTGATTCAAATAAAATATAATAACGACTTCGTTTCCAAACAAAAAAAAAAAAAATTCGCAGGTAAATTACAATTTCATACTAGTACTAATTTTACCATCATGCATTTAATTATTCGTGAAATTTTTTTTTTTTTGTAAATCACCAGAAAACTTTTTCCTTATTTATCCTTTTTTATTAAAAATAAACTCTTTTGGAGCATTGTTCAAGAAACTCGGTTCTATCTTCTCTGTCAATTTTGGAACAAATAATAATGTTATCGATCTCAAGATTGCTATACTTTGCTAGGTTCCAAACTGACGTTTCTCAGAGTGAAATTAAGAACAAGAATACTTCTTTCTATTGATAGTTTCATTAGTAGTTTTTAAATTACGAATTATTAAATACTGATGATACGGTTGAATCAATTTTTCCTATGTCGAAGGAAGAAACGTTAGAGTTATTGTCATTGATCATAACTAATTTAATCAAAACATAATTCTTTTCATCTTCTCTATCTTATAATATAAAGTATAATACTGAACAATACTAACAGTAAAACTATTATCACTTAAACTGTGAGATCACCCAAGAATAAATTGTGCAGAGTTTACCCTAACGATTCTTTATGCCAACATATCATTTGCTGAATTAATAGATTAAAACTGCGCAATTACGAACATGAGTTTCAAAAGAATTTGTAATGTAATCGAAATTTTGCCGAAAAAAAAAATCATAAATTTAAAGAAACAAACATTACAATAAAAAAAAAAGTAACTATAGAAATGTGAAAGTAATGAAATCATAGAATACACTGTCATTATATTTATTACCGAATTAAAAAGCAAAAGCAACAAGATTTGTTTTTCGTTTGTTTACTAAGAAATTTCTAATACTATAATATATTATAACAAGAAAATAATTAATCCATTGTAAGATGGGAATAATTGAGAAATACTGATAATCATGTAAAAGCAAACAGATAAGTAGTACACACCAAATATTCAAAACTTGTTACTGTAACTACCATAGATCCAGTTTAAAATAATTTGGTGTTCCAGCGGGAACCCTCCTGAAATGACATTAAAGAGTAGGTTCGCAGGTATAGTTATTTGGTAGTACGTCATGCCAGCTGCCATCAGTATGATGTAAGTAGCCAAATATGTAATGAGGTATACCAGTATAGTATGATTGAGCGTTGCAAATCCAATGATGTTGTATAGTGTTCGATAACGTTATCATGAGCAGTGTATTTGGTGGATGGCTTGGAGTATTTAGTGTTGGTTTTGGGATTTTATTGTTACGTAAATAAAGTAAGGCGAGCATTGCAGCGGTTGCCATTTCGACGATAAGGAAATGTCTTTATTGCAATATAAATTTCAATAAAATTTGTCTGTATAGAAGCAGAAAACATTCTCCCGCCAAGTTATGCAAACTTTTGAGATCCTCAATTTTTTCCCACTTCTACAATCATTCCTGGCTGCAATAACTCAGACCCTTCTGGCGGAATCATCTTTGGTACAACTGCGACACAACGCAATACTCACTATCATTACCAATGGTAATATCCAACATGAAGTTGGTTATTCCAACTTTCTATCATAAAACAAAATCCTCCTGATACTACTGAGTGTATGCTTCCAGGCAGCTCGTTCGTAATAACCTTTCCTTTAATTAAACGGACATATATATTAAACCTCCGTTTCTCTTCACGAAAATTATGGTATCTTTGAAGAGACACGCCACTGAAAATTATAATTTCTTTTGGCTCCTCTTCCACTATTGCACTTTCTCTATACTTCTATCAATTCGAATAAGCAATTCTTTGCTAGTTCAAAATTTTCTTCAGGTTGCCCATAGGCATCGTGAGAAAACGGCGTCTTGTCAATAATCCATATTGTCTTTGAATTTATCAAAAACAATCTATAGAAGGAAATGTAATTAATGTCGTTTAAAAACTTAATAAATAATTTCTATCAAATTTTATCGTTATCCATTATAAAATTTTTTGCCCTGTTGTCATTTTACTTGAATCGATATTTCATTTAATTCATATACTGTATGCATTAACTTACATCTTTTATGTATACATAGAATGACCGAATCAACTTCACTCTGTGAAAAATTTTAGTTCCATCAGATCGATTGGCAAAGGAACTAATCATCTTTATTCATTTTTTTCTCAATTTATGATTGTAAAAGATGTTTATTGCATTTCAATTTTTGATTTTATCTAAATATTATTCGTTTTTGGTTTACTTGCGGGAACGAGAAAAATAATCTTCGAACCATTCGTTCTATGACGTAAAGCGAAACCTTTTGAATAAAAACAAACATATCTAAATAATCGCGTCAAATTCTTTCGCACAATTTCAATCAATTTTATAAATGAAAATTTTAAAATCTTCCTCTTTATTATACTAATACATGCGAAATCAATCCAACCTACCACCAATGACTTGAAATGACAAATGAATCGAATAATTTGAGCAAATAAATAACATTGTGCAATTTTATTTATTTTAGGATAAATTCTATATAAATAATAAACTGTATGATTTTACACGATTTACGGACGGAATTGATTTTCTTATATAAAGATTAAATTCAATTTCATCAATGACAGAATTAATGCATTAAAAGTGTTGCAATTAGTTTGCTATCAAGGTAATTTATATTTCACGTGTTCTTTTTTTTTAGTGAATATTGAATAATTTTGAAGGAATCTTTAATAAATATTGCATATATTTTTTATTCCATCATTTTGCAGATCGATAAAAAAAATTAATCTTTTTTACACATTATGTTGATGGCTTATCGAAATATCATCAATCCCGTGAGTTTGAAAAATAGCTGTAATACATACTCCTAAAAAATATAGTTGTGACTGTATGTTAAAGATTTCGTGAATAGTATGAGAGT